ACCAGCACCCAGTTAACACAGGAGCTTCCAGAAGTAGAGAGAGTCGTCATCATTAGGACCCACGTTTACTGTGCAGAGAGGGTCTTATTCCAGGTAGATGAAACACGACTCTTGCCTTTTAAAGATGCCCAACCACCGTGGGACTAAATGAGCCACGGGGGTGGAAATCACCCCATCCTTCTGTGGCATGTTTCTCCGCTTGTCCCAGCTGACGAATTAGCAATGCTACACTTCCTTTACACGTAAGAGGGTCACCCCAAGTGTGGCAAAAGAGGTATTAATTAGGGCAGGCGCTCAGAGATTGCACACACTGTTCTTCTAAAGCTGTACCAAGGGATGGGTGCCTTCTTGGTTCAGTGACCAATTCCTGGTTTCTAAGATGTAATTATAGGATTCTGGGTCCCCAGGGGACAGAAGAACCATATACCTGGTGACTAATCAAGCTACTATTTTGAAGACTATGAGGACCTACAGCTGCAAAGCTGGGAACCTGGAAGAGGAAGGGGAGGAATATCTCCAGGAGGTCAGGAGAGGTTCAGAGACAGAGGTCCCGAAGTCCCTTACTCCCTCCTTTAAAACACATCTTTAGATTTATTTTATTTGTATGTGTATGCATGTTTTGCCTGGACATATGTATGAGCACTACACGCTGCCTGGTACCCAAGGAGATCTGAAAGGGGGTCATATTCCAGGGATCCATGGTTACGGGTGGCCGTGAGTCCCACGTGGGTGCTGGGAACTGACTGAACCTACGTCTTCTGAAAGAGCATCAGGTACTCTTAACAGCTGGGTATTCTGTCTAGTCCCAGATGATTTTCTGAGACAGGGTCTCGCTTTGCAGCTTCCCTGAAACTTACTATGTAGACCAGGTTGGACTCAAACTCACAGTTATCTGTCTGCGTCTGCCTCCCAGGTGCTGGGATTAAAGCTAAGCCCCACCATACTTAGCCAGTAGTCTAGAAGAAGTAGACAACCATGACCCAGTATTACTAAATGCAGAGAAACACTTCATGCCCTCTGGGGCATTCTGCCAAAGAGGAACCTGGGCTGCTGTCCGATGTGGGCAGCTGGTTCTGGCTCAGCCCCCCAGGACCCAGTCCTCTGAGGCACGATACCTTAGTGCATACTCGGAATGCAAGGTTGCAGGGTCTCTGTTGCATGCACGGAGCAATCATTTCAGCCCCAGCGTCTAGACACGGACAGCATACAGTAGCGGTGAAAGCCACAAGACAGGTGGCCTGCTCAGCAGCCTCGGGCCACCTCTCCGGTTGGCACAGGAAAAAGAGTGAGAACGGTGCCACCTCTGTGATTCTTCAGAGCAGACCGCTCAAGAGAAGATTCTCTTGGCAATGAGAGGAGCCAAGTGCCTGAGCGGCTCATTAGAGCTAAGAGCAATCGAAGCAAATCTCTGGGATCCCGAGTCAGAACTCAAGTGCAGAACTTAGCTCTGAACGCTGGAATTTGGGAGGAAGGGAGGGAGCAGGCAGAGTAAAAATTTAAATAATGCATATAACACAATTTGCATCAGGAATGAAGGACAGGCTTCCTTTAGGGCACACTAGGTACTGTCGGCCTTCCAGGCAGTGAGGAAAGCAACCAGAAGGAAGCTGGCATGTGAGCTGTGGTGCTCCAGGGGAAGCGCTGTGCTCCAGGGGAGGAGCAAGAGCTTTCAGATTTCATCACAGACATCTAATAACACCTTGGTGCGTGCTCTGCTCCAGAGCAGCTTGGAGGCCCGAGCAGTCAAGCTCACTCCTTTCCCAACCACCCCAAGAGGAAAGGAGCCTGTCAGCTTCACTAAAGAAGAAAGGAGGGAAAGAAAAACAAAGGCAGAGCAAACCTCCAGTTGCTTTGTATCTGTCTGAAGGCTCAAGGCAGAGAGAGCTGGTTTTATGCAGAGGCACCCTGGGACCCTCGGGAAGGAAACCTGAAGGCTGCGGTAGGAAAACATTACTTTTAGGGAGGTTTTAATCAGTTTGAGCAGCTCTTTGATAGGCAAGGATGTTAAGCCAGGAGAGTCTGAAGATGGGGTGAGGGGTAGTTAACACGTGGTGTCTCCTCCTGCCACCCCTCCCAGTCGGGATGTTTACACAAGCCCTTCAGTTGGCTTAGAGGGAGGTGGGTGAGTACAGAAGGAAGCCCACAGAACTGCAGACTCTAGCACTACCAGCTGCTGCCCAGGGTAGGCATATAGAGGCCTCCTTAAGCTGGACTGAGAAGAGATGAAATAAATGGACTAAAATTAAAGACAAGAGTAATAAGATCTGCTGAAAGAAAACACCACTAGCCAACTTGTGGCTCAGATTACATTTACCCCCATTGGCAGGGAGTGGTTAACAGGGAGTGAGCAGTAAGTCCAGGCTCTGGAAAAAAAAAAAAAAAAGTATGGGCAAGATAATCTCACAAGGGGTAGTGCCAGAGAGATCACCTCCCCGGGGGAGATTCAAAACAGGGTATAAAACCCATCAGTGACGGTGAGATAATTTCCCGTGCGGGAAGGGGGGTGGGGGTGGGGGGCTCCCTGGTAAGCCCATCTCTGACTCTCAAGACTCGAATTCTACCCAGAGCAGCAGCAACAGCAGTAACAGTACTGCGCTCACAGGGTTTCTACCCCGCTGTGGTGGTGTGGCTTCTGTCTGTGCTGCTCTGGCCTTGGCAGGGTGGGGCACTCAAGTTTGGGCGAGAACCCTCTTAGTCTCCTGTCCATTTCCATTTCCGCCTCACCAGCTGAACCATGGGAGGGCCTCTCGGCTTCCTGAGCTTGTTTTTCTGCTGGATAATTCTGGATCCCCAGAGAGCAACCAATCCATCATATGATACACAGGTTCCTCCAGCCACTTCCCCAGAGGCCTCCAAGTCCTCGAGTTCCCAGTTCTTCTCCCTAGCTGAACAGGAGTCCAGCGCAATACAACAAATCTAGACCACTGCAAGGATTACATCTTTAGCACAGCAGGGTGGTGTGTGTGGGTGAAATTCAACACTTGTGGTAGGCTTTGGACCCGTGTGAGTGTGTCACCTGGAAGTCCTGTGTACTGTAAATCTTTAAAAGAGAAGGACTCACCTCTTAGGCCAGCCCTCCACTTCTGCCCTCTACAGCCCTTCTTCCTTCCCCAATAGGACTCAGAGCCTAGGCTCGATCCTCCACTCAGTAGTGGGTAAGATGGTATCTTAGAGATGAACTGTCGGGCTCCAAGTCAAAGAAGACAGTAGAAGTCCTGTTCACACGAAAAGGAAACCCTTCTGCCTCACGGTCAAAGGATGCTTCAGAGGTCCTGAGCCTTCCCATCCTTACATGTGAGGCCCGGAGTCCGTCTCCATCCCTCATCCTCCCGGCTGCACTCACTTTCCAGGTTCCCTACCCCATGCTTAGGACATAAGAGTGCATCCAACTCCCCCAAGAGGACCCTGCGGAGCCAGCGCCTGGGAAGTGGGGTGGCTCGTGTCTCCACACATAAACTGCTCCTGGAATGCTACATCCAAGCCCCTCCAGGAAGAGAGAGCACAGCTTCCAACAAAGCAAACAACAGTACACACCTATATGGCCACTATTCTCCAAAAACCTTTAACAAAAGGGCTTGGGAGAGATCTCAGACAGGGTGCTCGCCCTGTGAGTAAGAGGACTTGAGTGTGAGTCCCCAGAACCCATGTGACAAAGACACGTCTGATGGTGTGCACCTGTAATTCCAGAGCTGGGGGGTGGGGCAGGGACAGACAGATCCCAGAGCCCCAGTGGCCCACCAGCCTCATGGGTGGGGGCGGGGCAGGGACAGACAGATCCCAGGGTTTTAGTGGCTCACCAGCCCCACTGAATCTGACAGTTCCTGGTAAAGTGAAAAACCTTGTGTCAAGAAACAAAGTGGACATGGTCCTGAGCCACAACGTCTAAGGCTGATCTATAGGATCAGTGCAGATACCCAGATGTGTGTCTGTACATGCCTGCAAATGCACACCCACACATGGAAAGGGAGGGACAGAGAATGGCTTCAGCACAGGACAGGTACACATACGAGGGTTTCCCTTTCCTTTGGTCACTATCAGAGCTCATTTGAAAGGAGTCCCTTCCGCCAGAATGAGACTAACAACAGCTAATAGAACTAACACATCAGGCACTCTGTTTTCTCTTGATCGCTAGACTTTGGAAACAGAGAATCTATTATTACAGAACAGTTTCACCCATCTGCCCACCCACCAAGTACAAGAGATTTACAGAGGCTTGAGGCCCCTGCCCCCAACCCCGAGGACAGGGTGCAGTTGGCACAGGTACAACGCCCTGCCGAAGTCCGCAGCGCAGGATCTGATCTGCTCTTTGGAAACAAACATGGCAAGCCGCAGTGTGCAGAGCTAATTTCTGCTCGCTGGTTTCTACTGGTTTCTAGCACTAAGTTCTGGAAGGACATACATCAAATTGTCAACAGGGGGTGGAGGGTTGTGGTGAAAAGGAGCTTACTAGTGCAACCCTCATCCCACTGCCTCACACCACCCCCAAACCCCACCCCACACCCCATATCCCTTTCCCCCGGTGGAGGACACGGTCTTGGACTCCTTAAAATGTGAAAAATGAACCAATAGATGCACATTTTCTACATTCCCCCCCCCCTCACACACACACACACAGTGAAGGCTGGACACAGCCAACTTCTACTGTCTGGTCTCTTCCAGGCGCCTGAAGAGCAAGAACCTCTATCCTTGGCTAGCTCTTTTCCAGTCTTGGCAGCCCCCCGGAGCCCGAGTGAGCATCTGCTCCAACCTGGCCTCACCCGGGTGCCTCCCTCACCTCAGAGGCTCCCTGTAAGCAGTGTCCTAGCCCCTTCTGCCTCAAAGCATTCCCGGGTTAAAGATGGAACTCTCCCCAGGTGAGATGGAGCAGCTGTGAAAGTCTAGCTGCAGCTGCAGAGGGTCAAACTCTCACCATTCCACTCAGACGACCAAGCCTGAGGGCAGCACAGGAGCCTGGGACCCGGCAGCTGGAGCAGGAGCCACGGCTTCCCCTGAACACTCACCTGCAGATGTAGTTTGTCTTGCAGGAGTCCTGCAGGTTCAGGCAGTTGGGCTTGTCCCGTTCTTCGTAGGAGCACACGGGGACGATGGTCTGTCGCCGCCGCTCCGTGCAGGCGATGTCCCTGCAGGAACAGAAGAGCATCCCGTAGCTGTGCTTGGCCGGGACCTTGTCGAAGAACTGCCTGAGGGCCTTGTGGCACTTGCGGCGATTGCAGACTTCGTTGGACATGCTGGTGGTGCACGGCGTGATGTAGGCAGACCTGTACTTCTTGCAGGTGTCGTCCAGGTTGCAGGCCTTGGCGGCATCCAGGCAGTTGTTCCCTTTGGAAATGTGCTCCACTGTAAGGCAGAGAGAGAGGAGTGAGCACAGGGCTGGGCTCTGGAGCGTCACCACGCACGCACGTCTGCATTGAGGTCTCGCCAATCCCCTGGGTATGCACAAACTCTGGAATTCAAGGAGTCTCAAACCTGGTGACGTAACGGTCTATGACACAGAGGAGGTGTTAGGGTGCAAAGACAAGGAGCCGACAGTAGTCCCTAGATGTCCCTAGACATCTTTGTGGAGCTATGGATCCACCTTGGGAACTCGGGCACCTGCCCAGCTACTAGTTAAAAAAAAGGCAACTGGAAAAATGTTTCCAGCTCCTGCTTGGTAAACTGAAATCAGGACCAAAGAAAACAGCAACAAATTATATACTTGTTCATGATACAGTATATAAAATGATATGCTGAATCCAAGTATAATTGCCATGCAATCCTCCAGGAATATAATTATGTAATAAATGCGTATAGAACATGCTAATTACTATATGATTACCGAGTAATTACATGGTTATTTGAGCCCAGAAGACAAAATATTATGCCAGCCTCTCTAAACAGGAAGAAGCAACTCCAGAGAGTTTGCGTCTGAGTTTCAGATCATAGGCCGTTGGATGAACACCAGAATAAAGCACACAAAATTTTCCAAACCTCAATTACCACTTAGCTCACCACATCCAAATTGTCGGCTCTGTGGACACTGATGTTCCTGATTAGGAAAATTCAGCTCGGATTTTGGATAGAATTTCTCTGGGTTTACACTGCGCAGGCTTTAGAAATATCACAGAGCATATGCTAGCTTCTGCTCGGGCTCTCTATGCCCAGGCTGCCTGGAAAGCCAGCGCTGCCCACTACGGGCTGCTCTTGTGCAGTCTGGATTAGAGTTTTCAGGAGGCAGAGTCCCCGGGCAAATGCACAGGCTGCCTGGGCCAATGGGGAAGTTTCAAGTAAACTGACAAGGGGAATTGAGCTCAGGACCCAAGTTGTTCTAGGCTGAGGGGCCAAGTTCTAGGCCCAGGGCCCATGCTCTAGGCTCAGGACCCACACTCCAGTCCCAGGGCCCACGTTCTAGGCTCAGGACCCACACTCCAATCCCAGGGCCCACGTTCTAGGCTCAGGACCCACGCTCCAGTCCCAGGGCCAACGTTCTAGACTCAGGGCCCACGCTCCAGGCTCAGGACCCACGTTCTAGGCTCAGGGCCCACGCTCCAGGCTCAGGGCCCATAATCTAGGCTCAGACCCCACACAGCTCAGGATCCACACTCCAGGCCCAGGGCCCATGCTCCAGGATCAGGACCCACATTCTAGGCTCAGGGCCCATGCTCCAGGCTCAGGGCCCACGTTCTAGGCTCAGGGTCCACACAGCTCAGGATCCACGCTCCAGGCCCAGGGCCCACGCTCCAGGCTCAGGATCCACACTCCAGGCCCAGGGCCCATGCTCCAGGCTCAGGACCCACGTTCTAGGCCCAGGGCCCATGCTCCAGGATCAGGACCCACATTCTAGGCTCAGGGCCCATGCTCCAGGCTCAGGGCCCACGCTCCAGGCTCAGGACCCATGTAGTTTCTTCGTTGCTGTGACTAGCACCCTGACAAAAAGACAACGCAGGCAAAGGGTTCACTTGGCGTACTGTTCCAGAGCAGTCCATCATCGAGAAGCCAAGATGGGGTCTGAAAGAGCTTCTCACATCCACCCACAGTGGAGAGCAGAGGGAAATGAACACTGACCACTTGATAGCTTTAAAGTCACCCTCTTCCCCCACCCCTGGTGAGTACTGTCACTCCTAGTGGGCTGGGTCTTCCCACATCATCACTGCCATTAACAATCCCCAGACGATCCCCAGAAACATGCCCACAGACCAGCCTGACAGATACAGTTACTCAGCTTAAGACTTTTCTTGGGGAATTCTAGGTCGCGGCAAGCTGGCACTCAGAAGTAACTGTCAACACCTATATAAGGGAGTTTCTCTAGAGGAAGTGAAATGAAGGAACCTTCCAGAACCCACTGAGAAGGTGGCCCACAGCTGCAGGTAAGCAGTTATGCTAATGAATCTCAAGAGTGGACAGGGTGGAGCAAACTAGCACCCTAGAGATTAGATTCCCAAGCAAGTCCCTACTCAGGCTTGGCCTCTGTCTATTCGCTCCTTCTTTCTTAGCGTGTTTGTTCTCTCGATGGACGGAAGGCACTTGGGCAATCACAGGAGGTGCGAGAACTGACAGGAAAGGGTCCAGGTGGGCTGGGCAGGGCTGCAAGGCAGGGAAATAGGAATATAAAGATATGTGGAATATAACTCTGCCCTATAAAGGAAGGAAGCCTTGCAGCCTGTGACAATATGGAGGAAACTTGAGGGCGGACATCCTGGTTCAATGAGTGTCTGAAGGACACCAAACGTGATTCCACTCATGTAGGGACGGTAAACACGTCAGCTCCAGGAGGCTGAGGGCAGGGGAGGAGGTGGTCGTTATTCAGTGGGAACAAAACTTCAGCCTCAAGCTGAGTATGTTCTTCAAGTTGAGAGGTGTGCCACAGAAGGACCTGTCTAAAGTTACTGATTCTGTAATTAGACTTAAATTTTTGCTAGGAGGCACTGAGATGGCTCAGCAGGTGAAGGTGTTTGCTGCCCAGCTTGAGGATGGCCTGAGTGTGACCCAGATACTGAAGGGTGACAGCTGAGAGATCAGAGCAGCGGAGCAGCAGCCACTAGTTCTTACCTCTATGAAATCCTCAGACTGAGCGGGGTACCCTGTCTCTACAAGTCCTTAGACTGAAACTCTGAGCTCCTGTCTCCTCAGCCTTATATTCCTCTCTGTGCCCAGCCATATCGATAACTCCTGTCTCCACCTCTGTAAACTGGGATTAAGGGCATGTGATCCCGTGCTGGGATAAAAGGTGTGAAATGTTCCTCTTTTAAACTGATTCAATCTCCAGTAGCCCAGGATGGCCTTGAACTACAGAGATCTGTGTTCCTGGGCCTCCCAAGTGCTGGGAGTAAAAGTGTAGCCACAATGCTAGGCCTTTTTGGCTAACTAGTGCGGCTAGTTCCACACTCTGATCTTCAGGCAAGCTTTATTTGTAGCAACGCAAACAAAACATCACCACAGTGCTATGTCTGCACTGGTGTCTAATGAAAGGTTATGAAAGTTTTCTTTCTAAAGTCCACATAAAACAAAATACCTGAAACGAAGGTGGTTTACACATAAGGAAAGGAGCTGGTGACACACAGCCCAACAATGCATGTAACCTCAACTGGAGAAAAATGGCAGAGGAGGTGTCGCCACATGCACCAGGTATCACAGGCATGCCACACTAAAATGAACCCATGCTGACATCCGGCACCAGGTTCATCCCAATGGTCAGAATTCACTCGGTTCCAGCAGCACAAGGTCGCATTAACCTGCTGTTCTTCATTGTCATTCCACCGACCTCACCGTTTGACCTTTCACTGTTTGACTTGTGTTGTTTTTGTAATTCTGTGACAACAAGCAAGGGCTCCTCTTCTTTACAAACCTAGGGTAACTTTCCAGTAAAAATAGTAAGACAGCCGATGACTCCCACAAAATTAATCCATACTGCAACATACAAGCTTAAGAAGACTTGGCTGCTGTAACTTTTTTTTGTTCCCATGACACGGTTATTTTTCATACTTTTTTTTAATAATTACATACGCTTAGGCTTTACGTGTGTGTGTGTGTGTGTGTGTGTGTGGCATGTGTGTACATGTGTGTACAGAGGTATGGATGTCTCTGTGGAAGCCCGGTCGGTGTTGGGTGCTTTCCTCTAGCACTTTTGTCTTACTGTTTGAGGCGGGGTCTCTCAGGGAACCTGGAGCATGCACGTGTGTCTAGCCCGGCTGGGCAGAGGGCTCCAGAGACCTGTCCGTCTCCTCTGGCACCAGCACTGGGAGCACACAAAGGACCTGGCTTCTGTTGTGTGCAGTGGGGCCCTGAACTCAGTTCCTCACACTTCTGCAGCAATGCTTGCAGACTGGGCCATTTTCGTAATGTTGTAAAGGAAAGAACAGCAATATTCTAAAGGAAAAGCTTTGTACAGAGGAAACAGTAAAGTGTGTTATGTCCGAACCAATCGTTCGTGGCTAACTTGGTTTAGCAGGGGCTGCGACTGTGCCTCACTCTCTGCTGATTCCATTTTCTTCCACACATCGCCGTACCAGCGCACCGTCTCCTTGCCCTTCGTTCAGAGCCTGTGACGAATTCCAAAGTGTACAACCCGGCACATTTGGAGGGGCAAAACCAATTTATTCCCACCTCGCAGGTCAGACGTGGCTTCCAACATGATTCTGCCCTTACGAACACAAACCATTTCCACAACACTTCCCACCTCAATGAGCCCAGCAAAATCCAACACAAGAACCCAACAAATGCAAAATAAGCAAACAACAGACTCCCGCTCCCCACAAAGGCAGATGTAAAAATCGCCGGCAAATCTGAGCTACTTGTTTAGCAATATGTTAAGAAGATAACGCACCATTTCCCCAAGGATCCAATATAATTTTGATGTTTAAAAATCAATGTGATTCCACAGTAACAGAATTCAAGAAGAAGAAAAAAATGAGTTATTTTAGCAGAAAAAAAAACGCATCCAGTGAATTTCAACACTCACTCAATACAAATATTCAGCGAACTAAGAATAGAAAATAATTTCCTCAGTTTGAGAAAGGGCAGCTATGACACACGGGTATGATCGGATCTCCTAGTAAGACACTTTCTCCCCTAAGACCAGGAGCAAAGGACGCACATCCTTTTTCTCTGCAGTCAGTGCTGTAGTAGAGGGGTCTTAGCCTCTGCAATACAGCAACAGAAATAAATAAAAAGTGGACGAGAGGAAGACACACACACACACACCTGTTTGCAAATGGCTTCAAAACCCCATAGGGATATATGGAACAACTGCTAGAATAATTAAATTTAGCTGTCAAAGATATAAAATTAATATAAAAATCAATTGCACCTTCTTGAGTACACAAGTTCATTTTTTTTTTATTAATTGCCTCTGGAGTCCACTG